GGCCCCCTATGGAACGGTGCCCCCGTGGAGTGTGAAATGGAAACGCCAATCCAAGGAAGTTAGTGGCCACCAATATTTACATGTGACAGTGAAGTTACATTTTCTCGTAGAAACTCTAACACTAGTGAATGTCATTTTATTTTTTCTAGATGTTGGTTTTTTTAAATCTTTTTAATTTTATTAAGGTATTACATGTGTCCTTATTCCCCCATTACCCTCCCAAACCCCCCCCCCCATTCATGCCCTTACCCCCATGTTGTCTGTGTCCGTCGGTTAGGCTTATATGCATGTACACAGATCCTTTGGTGAACGTCCTTTTAAAGTGGGTTAATAATGTCTAAGAGTCATTCACAACTCATGTAGCTCTTCTTTGAAAGACTGGGCCTCCGCGCGCTCGGACACTGCCCCCACGTGTGGCTGCACCCGATGTGTCCATCTCCCTCCCTCCCCAGCGATTCAGACTGTGTGTCTCATCTTCATCTCCCTTGTACCGCCATCGTCAATTTTAAAAGAAATCAAAGGAGCACAAACTTTGGGAACAAAAGGCCCAAGTACCAGTCCAGTCTGCCTTTTCCCAGCCAGGTGACCTTGGCAATCCTTCACCTCCTGAACCCCAGCTCTGGCCTCCGTTAAACTGGGTCCTCTCCAGGCACCAGGGTCATAGGAGCCCCCACCCCCACCGCCCAAACCTAAATGGCAGCTACATCTCCCAAGTCCTCCTGCCCCCAGAACTGTGTGTGTGAAACAAAACCTGCTCATCCTTGGGCAGCTAGTTTCCCATTGAAAAAACAAATCCAGCTCAAACCGGTTTGGCTCAGTGGATAGAGCGTCGGCCTGCGGACTGAAAGGTCCCGGGTTCGATTCCGGTCAAGGGCATGTACCTTGGTTGCGGGCACATCCCCAGTAGGGGGTGCGCAAGAGGCAGCTGATCGATGATTCTCTCTCATCGATGTTTCTAACTCTCTATCCCTCTCTCTTCCTCTCTGTGAAAAATCAATAAAATATATTTTTTTAAAAAGAAAAAAGAGAAGGAAAGGAAAAACAAATCCAAGTGCAGGCAGGTTCGGGTATGCAGGTAAATGCCAGAATTTAAGGAACAAATTGAAGGGCATATCTAAAAACCAGGCATTTGGGCTGTCACGCCACTTATGAGATCCTGAAATCCGATTCTGCCCACTGGTGCACTAAAAATCCCAGGAATTACGGGACGAGGGTTGGGGCGGAGCCTCGGAGCTGTGGAATGTTGTAAGGGCCTCAGCACAAACCAGAACCATCCTACCAGAATGGCTGCTGGGCTAACTCACAGGGTGTTCCCCTGCCCCTGTGAGTTAGGGGCACCCCAGCAGCCATTGGTCATTTGTGCCCTCTGACCTTGGGTCCCTTTTGAGATGTGGGTCAGCTGTCTTCTGAGAATGGGGTTAGTCAGAATTAGAAGCCTGGGCCAGTCCTTCCGTCTTTGTTTTAAACTCAGGGGATGTCTCCACTTTGGTCTCTGCTCCGTCAGCTTCCCCAGGTGGCTCGTCTCAGAGGGCAGGCGGCACTAACCCGGCCACCGCTGCTCTAACGAAGCTGTTTCCATAGGATCTTTGTCTGTTTTTCTTAATTTTGGCCTGTGGATTCTCTTTGGTTGTGAGAAAACTCTCCTCTGGACCCTTTGAGTTCTGAAGTGAGGTGGGGGGGTGTTGGTAGAGAGCAGGTTTTCCTGTTTTGTGACACCCAGTCCCATCCAGGTGGCACTCGCAGGATTCAGGGCTGACTTTCAGAAAGGGGGCGGGGTGGAGGAGGAGGAAGGATGATGATGATGATGAATGGGTATGTGCCAAAGTGGCCTTTCGCTGCTTAGAATCTTGACCAAGCAGCTTGAAGGAAGGACGCCCCAGACAGACAGCCGTCACCATGACCATGAGTCGTTAAAATGTGTGGGGTTCACTGGCCCGTTAAGTTCCAGAATTCTGACCCCAGACCCAGCTCCTCAGCAGAGCTTGGGAGGAGGGTGGCCTTGGGGATGCCTGCCAGCCAGTCCCCTGACCCCGGCTCTGGGCCCCAGGGGGGTAGTTGGTGCTTCCTGTGACTCTCATGCTCCAAATCGTTCTGCCCCACTCACATCGACAGACAGGGTGTGGGGTTTGAGTTCCCTCTTTCACACAGAGGAAATACTTACCTTTGCTTGCAAACTTTTGCAGAAATGACTACTTGTGGATGCCACGTGGCTTGCAGGTGACGGTACCCGAAGCGCCCACCCCTCGGGCCTGGCCGCTTTGATCTGGTGCAGTTTTGAGGTCCTCTCTTCTGCTGGGCTTCATTAAGCCCTCCTCGGTCGGAGGCTTTCCCGCCATCGTAAATGTTGTGTGGCTCTGGGTGTTCGGGTTAACAAATGAGCCCGATGAGATGGATAAACAGTCATTCTGGCCCTCCTGAAGCCCTGCTGGAGGAGCTTTGCGAAATAGCGGGTCTGGTCCTCTAACAAGCAATTTAAAGGGCGCCAGCATGTGGCATTTGTTTGAGTGAAATGTCTTAACAATGCCCCGTTTAAAAGCACATTTCGAGACTTGCTTTAACTCGAGAGATGTGGCGCGGACCCTGGGCCGTCTTATGGGAGTGTTTCCAAAGCGATCTCATTTCTGGGGGCCCCGGCCAAGTACAGCAGGGCTCACCCAAACCCACAGTTACCTCCGGGGCCTTGCTTTTGCCAAACGTTTTCCTGCCCCATCCACGAGCTTCAGAACAGACGACTGAATTCCACCTGAGTGGTGGATGGTGAAGAACCAGCAACAGGGCTAGGAGGCTCCCCTTCGGAGGGCTGCTGGCATTGGGGGCCAGCAGTGGTGTGGGGGAAAGCGACCACCCTGAGTGGCTAATTGAGAATGCATAAGCTCTTGAGCTTTGCAGGGATCGGTTTTCTCAAATGTGTGCAAGGGACAGCCGTCCCCACCTCACAGGGTCACTGAAGGATTAAGTGAGATAAGGCGTCCAGCGTGCGTGAAACGTAAGAGGCACTCAATCAACCCGAGGTCCCTCCCTTCCTCCTGGGCTCCTCCTTTTTAAGTGTGAGCCTCAGATGCTGGCGTCCTGGTTCCTGGCTCAACGGGCTCTTCAAACAATCCTATTAATGCCTATTAAAATGAAACCCAATAAAAGTGCCAATATCTGGTGTTGAAATAACTGATGTAGCAGAGTGCGCCACGGAGCACCCAGGCAGGTCCCTGGTGCAATTTAGCCTCACACCTGGGGGATGAATTTCACAACTGTAATTGCTACCATATAAGTCTTATTAATGTTGTGCTATAATTCCTATTTATTCCACCGGGCTTGTAAATGCATTAGGACTTGTCAACATATTATTTTACACTGTTTATGATCTGTAGAATTATGTCCTTCGGGGATGAATTGTGCAAAAGCTCAAAGTAAATGGCTTTGGGCCTCATTTAAAAAGAGCAAAAGGGGCCGGGACCGGTTTGGCTCAGTGGATAGAGCGTCGGTCTGCGGACTGAAAGGTCCCAGGTTCGATTCCGGTCAAGGGCATGTACATTGGTTGTGGGCACATCCCTGGTATGTGGTGTGCAAGAGGCAGCTGGTTGATGTTTCTCTCTCATCGACGTTTCTAGCTCTTTATCTCTCTCCCTTTCTCTCTGTAAAAAAATCAATAAAATATATATTTTTTTAAAAGAGCAAAAGGGGGCTGCTGGTGAAGTGGCTCCCCATCCCTGCTGTCCGGAGAAGTCAGGGAAGTAGATTTTTTAACTTCAACTACTGGCAGAGCTGTTCCCAGCAGCAGCACTAGGAATCCTGGGCCCACCTGAGCCCTCTGACTGGGGGGGGAGCCCTCCCCGCCTCCCACGGAATGCTGGGTAAGCTCCCTGCGGTCAAGGGTGGTCTTCCCTGAGCTGGAGCTGTATTCTGACCCTGACAGTTTGCCCTCAGAGCTCCAGGCATTTGTCCCCTAGCTCTGAATAAACCCTTTAATTACAAATTTCCTCATGGTCTTTCCAGCATAATCTATATATAAAAATTTTAAAAAAATATGTGAAATTTGCCGAAACCGGTTTGGCTCAGTGGTAGAGCATCAGTCTGCGGACTGAAAGGTCCCTGGTTCGATTCCGGTCAAGGGCATGTACATTGGTTGCGGGCACATCCCTGGTAGGGGGTGTGCAGAAGGCAGCTGGTTGATGTTCCTCTCTCATCAATGTTTCTAGTTCTCTATCCCTCTCTCCTCCTCTCTGTAAAAAATCAATAAAATATATTTAAAAAAATAAAAAATAAATAAAATATGTGAAATTCATCCCCACTAAATGCGAACACCTAGTAAGTGTGCTGTAAAATGTAGCCCCTCCCACAGACACCTGCATTGACATGATTGGCAAACCACAGCTCGTGAGCCACATGCAGCTCTTCGGCCCCTTGAGTGTGGCTCTTCCACAGAATACCACGGCCTGGATGAGTCTATTTTGAAGAAGTGGCACTAGAAGAAGTTTTAAAAATCTGGCTCTCAAAGGAAATTTCAATCGTACTGTTGACATTTGGCTCTATTGACTAATGAGTTTGCCAAAAAAGCATCAAACTAAAGGGGCAGTGTCAGGTGCAGCGTGTGTGCGTGCGTGGGTGTGTGTGTATGTGCAGGCGCGGTGCTTGCGTGTGTCCTGGGGCGGGAGGGGTTTATTGTCACTGATCACTGCTTTTGGCTTCGAGGCTTCCTAGCACCTTTGCAATCACAGCCTGAGCTGCCACAGAATCAAGTTCAAGCCCCTGCTCAGCCAATTCCTGGACATGGATTGGTGGGAAGTCATTAACCTGGTCCCTTGGATGGGAATGCAGAGACCTTCCCACCAGGCCTGTCCCAGGACCAATGTGTTTGCAGGCTCTGGTGCCTAGAATGCCCTCTCCCAGGGCGGGAGGAGCTGCCTGTCCTGCCCCTGGGTCCTGGCCCCTCCTGTCCTCTGGGGCCAGAGTGCACCTGCGGGGAGGTGCCTGCTCCTAACAGGCCGTGCTCTGTGACCCTGCAGGCAGTGAGTACGACGAGGAGGAGGTGGACTACGAGGAGTCGGATAGCGATGAGTCCTGGACCACAGAGAGCGCCATCAGCTCCGAGGCCATCCTCAGCTCCATGTGCATGAACGGAGGGGAGGAGAAGCCTTTTGCCTGCCCAGTTCCTGGATGTAAAAAGCGATACAAGGTAAAGGGCCCACCTCATTGGCTTGACCCATGTCAGACAGCAGCCCCTTCTGCCTGGTGGAGAGCGGACAGTCCCCACTGGGACACGTACCTGCCCTCTTGTGTTCCGGTGGGTTTTCTACCCACTGATATATGGAGTTGAAGGCCAAGACCTTTTTTTGGTAGGAGGACCATACCTCTGATATTCTTCAGATTCATGTCCCATCAGTCAGAATACAAAATGTGTCACCTATTTATTTGCCGAACACCTTCCCCAGTGCTGGGCTGTCCAGGTGGCTCGCGGAGGCCACTTTGAAGTGTCAAAGGCCTGGCTCACAGAGCCCTGCTCCCTGCCCCCAGGGGCGTGAAAGTAGATCAGGAGAAAAGGGGCTTTGATACTTTTCTCACCAAACCACCTGCCTCAGCTTCAGCATCCTCCCTCCTCTGTAGATGGCACCTCACTCTGGTGTCGCGGGATGCCTGGACACTACATTTTTTAATTTAAAAACCTCAATGAGACAAAACAATAAAACACCCGTAGCAAGCCAGTGTTGGTTGAGGACACTTTTATTTTACTGCAAACTTTTCCAGGAGATGTTAGCAGCTCTTTAAAATCCAACTCTGGGATAGAAATATAAAAATCAGAACCATATCTGGTGCATTTGGTGTGCTCATTTCCAGGAGCTCAGTGACTGGGCTTAAAAAATGTATGCTAGCTAAGCACTTACATGCTCTTTCTTAAGTATGTGTGTCTGAACATTAAAAAATAATCTATTTCAGTACTTTTTATACCAGCTACTGATAAAAGAATGAAACAAATGTATTGCAAGGTAAGTGGCCCAAGACTTCACCAGCTCTGTGGACTGTGAAAACCTCCATGTGGCCAGTTCAGATGCGCTGTGTTTGACTAAAATGAAACTGCAGGATCCAAACAGGTCTCTGGAGGCAGGAGGCAGGAGAGGCCAGGACGCAGACCCCAGTCAGACAGCTTTTTTCCAGAGGCAGCTCTGCACTGCACAGAGGTTGGTTTTGCTTTTCCCTTTTTTTATTTCGAAGTGGAGAGTTTGCTGGGGAACAGTCCTTGTGCTGGCCTGCTTTCCAGAGACTGCTTCTCACTGCAGTACCACTGCCCCCTGTATCCCAGCTCAGGAGGCGAGGCATTCTCTGTCCCATCTCTAGCTTCACTCCTCTTACACCCTGCCCCTTGGACATTTCTGTGTGTCACTCTCCTTCTGCTTCTATTTTTCTAGGGTTTCTAGCATTTTCCTCTAGTAGTTGTCCAGGTCTGGGGGGTGCTTTTTCTCCACGTAAGGCCAGAAGAAAATCGAGGGACCCCTTGGGCTCCTTCAGCATCCCTGACGACAGCGGTGGTGGCAATTCATGGTCCCGAGTTCCACAAAGGAAGTGTGGCGGGCCAGCACAGCCAAGGGTTTGGTGAGCCTGAGGGAGGGTGGCGAAGGATGTAGAAAAGACGAAGAGAATAAGCCGGGTCCAGGTGGATCTGCTGTGCCTGGCTAAGGCCGCAGAGAGAGATCCACACCACAAGCTGAGCCTTTATTTTATAGCCACAGGTAAACAAGACAGTGGTCACCATACTTACAGTGTGCTTGTTTCACTTGTTTTGGCAGCACTTGCTGCACCTCCCACAGCCCATTAGCTACCCAGGAAGGATCTAGGGGTGCCATAAGGTCAGGCTTAATTATGCTAAGGGGGCTGTGCCCTCTACGCTGGGACTTGTGGCTTTGCCAACAGGTCAGTCTGAGGCTTAACCCTATAGACACTCCCTACAGAAGTACAAGTTTCCTTTTCTGGACCAGAATGTCAAGTAAGATTAGAGGGGACAAGAACAAACATGTAACTACTACTCCTAACCAAGTGCTAGGGACAGCGTGTCGTACTCCCTAAGCTTCCTTTCGCCTTTCTCTGGGCAGTGACGCGCTAAGGGCTGCATGCCCGCTGACATCACATCTGCCTGCTCTCTGCCCATTGTCAGACCTCTCCAACAGTTAGTGTCTGGGGCACCGACTCAGGATCAGCTTTTCTCACCTTTCCATGGGCATGTGCAGAGCTGAAGACTTGTATCTTAACTTCCCAGGCTTCACACCGAGTAGGACGAGAGAGAGAGACCCCAAGGGCACCTAAGTCTCCATGTTTCCCAAGTTAATGCCTTTGCCGAGGATGCCCTTTTCCAGGCACAGATGCCACTTCCTCCGGTTTCCGGACTGACTCCCCACCCGCAGACTAAAGCTGTCAACAACCTTCCCATATGCTGTTCACTTCTAATTCCAAACTTCCCCAGCTTCTTCTCTTTTCTTCCTCATCAAACCCCCAGGCAACTTCATCCTTCGCCTTCATGAAGAACAGCAGGGCTGCGGGAAATTGAATGGGATGGTTTTCTATCAAGGGCACGTGTCCCATACCTTACTCAGCCTCAATACAGACAACAAAGATCAAATACAGTTAAGGACATGATGGCCGAGCTTGACTTTAGGCTTCATGATTTGATTTGAAGTGGGATTTTGAGAAAAGGCTAAATTGTTTTCTGGCCCAGTTCCCTCATCCGGGCAGGTCTTTCCTGGCATGGAGAAGAGCTGGTGCCAGCCTTGCCCAGCCCACCACAACAGCCCTGTACCCCCTGCCCTAACCCTCCTCCTTCCCATGCTGCCGTGGCAGGCTGCTTACTCCAGGCAGCTCTCTCCTTCCCAAAGCCCACCACCCGGTGCACTGAGCGAGCATCTGGCCTTTACTTAGGTGTGTGCGATTGTGGGGGGAAATGCAGGCTGGAATCGGGCCCCCTGGGTGCCCACTGCAGTGCTGTCACTTAGCAGCTCCGTGACTCCATGATTCCAGGGAGTTAACGTCTGAGTGTCAGTTTCATCTAAAACACGGATATTGAATGAGGCAGCAAGCCATCAACAGGAGACGTTCGTGTATGTTACCTCCCATGCCCTGTTGAAGTTAAATTCCCTTTTCTATCTTCAGAGACCAGAGGGTTTCAGCATTTCATTTCCCAGCTGCCTGTCATTATTTAACTTTTAAAGACCAAACTCAGCTTAAGGTCTCTGCAATTAGAAACTTAAGTCTTTTTAAACCCCAAGGGCATAGAAAATGGGAGTCCCACCTCTGCATGTGACTAGAATGGGGAAATCTGTGGTCTGACTGGAACTGGTACTAACATTTGTGGAAAGGGTGTACTGTGACCCATGTGGAAAAATAATTTTTTTAAAGGTACACGTTTTTTAAATATTGATATTTTACAGAGAGGAAGGGAGAGGGATAGTTAGAAACATTGATGAGAAACATTTATCAGCTGCCTCCTGCACATCCCCTACTGGGGATGTGGCCGAAATCAAGGTACACACCCTTGACCAGAATGGAACCTGGGACCCTTGAGTTCACAGGCCGACACTCTATCCACTGAGCCAAACAGGTTAGGGCCACTTGCGAAAATTTTAAATGACAGCAAGAGAAAAAGGTGGTAAGGTAGGCCTTAAGTTCTTGGGCCGTGTGTTTCCAAGTGCAGCTTGTTTTTCCAGATCAATAGGGCTGATGTATGGAGTTGGCGGTTTTCCTCAGTCTCACAGCCAGACACGCACCACCATGTACATATTCCAGTGGGGAGCACAGAACCTGGGTCTGTCTGGTGAGCGCCGATCTGGCTTTGTGTTGGACTGGCTTTGGTAATTTGATTTCAAAGCTTCCCTTGCCTAATTACTATAAAAACTCAGGCTGGGATGGAGAGGGTGTGATCCTGTTGGACGTTGCTATGCCTTTTTGCTTCCTGGCCCAATGTTTATTATTGGTCCTGTGTTCCCTGACAAGGTGCACGTGGTCCTGCTGGGCAGGTGTAAGAAAGGCCCTTCTCGTAACAAGTGCCCTGGGAGAACAAGGACAGGAGATGTTGGAATAACCCTCCATCCATAGAAGGGACCCTAGGAGGTGCTCAGTGATATCTGAGCTAATAAATAGGCTATGAGGCAGGCAAATGCATTTGTGAGCCAGGAGATTGCCTAATGTGTTGTTACTATTACTTGGAAAGTTGATCTTTCTCTAATGGTCATAAAACTGTATTAACTCTTCCTCTTTCAAATAGCTTAAGCCCATTACCTTGCATGGTTCTGGGCTGCCTGGCTCCAGCTGGGAGTTCTCACCTGGGTCTCTCGCGGCTGCAGCAAGGTACCAGTGGGGCTAGAGCTGGAAGTTGGCTTCCTTCCATGCCTGGGCATCTGGTGGGGTGGCTGGGCCGGCAGGGGACTGACACGGCATATCTACCCTTGTAATGATTTTAATGGGTCTGATTCTGCCATTGTCCCACTGCAGTGAGCTCTTATCCCTTTAGAAGACTAGTGAGGTGCTTCCTCGCCCTGCACACGGGGATCGATGCAGAAGGGCCAAGAGCAGGTAGGTGTTCAGGGCAGAGGGTCCTTGTGATTTGACTCACTGGACAACCTTCAGACTCCGAGCACCACCACCTGGCCACTATTTGGCACCCCTGGGCTCAACGAAATCAAGCAGGATTCTCTACCAAAACCTTTTAAAGGTACCAGTGAGCATGTGAAACTCTGAGGAAATGTAAATCTGGTCCCACCGTTTAATGGCAACTCTCAACTCCTGCCAGAGGAACTGCGTATTCATTCCCACCAGTTCATTCACTAAATACCAGACTGCTAGATGCTCATGGAACAGCAGGGGAGAGTTCGTCCCATTCTCTGGGAGCTCGCCAAGGGCCGCTTGTGAAGACAGAGCAGACTGTGCCAGAGCGCTCTAGCTGGGTATAGGACCTGGCACAGTGGGACCAGATTCAGAAACAGCCTACTCCGGTGATCTGTGCTCAACAACTTTGTCTCAGGTCCTCTCTCTTCCCTCTCAGTCCCTAATCTGGCAACAGCTGACAGGAATTTTCCAAGACTTGTGCTCTAGTATCACCTCTGCCATTTCTTCTTAAATCTTCCACTCAAGTGCCCTAAGCCCATTTATTCACATCTAATGGGATGAGCAGTAGTAGCTGTTACATCTGTAGTGATCCTAGCCATGGAGTCTTACATAGAATATACCGACAAGCGAGCAAAACCAGTTGCAGAACACAGACATTTTGTGTGCCATGTGAGATCTGCAGGCCAGTTTGAAGTCTAGGGCTCTTCGTCTGCTCCGTGGTCCTTACTGTGAGCATGGCGCTCCCACCACTGGCTTCTCGCAGAGTGGAGCACGGACAGGAATTCCAGTAAGGTAGGATCCGCACACAGCCGCCATTTTATACACATCTTAAAGGCTACTGCCCTGCCCGGTTTTCTTCCTAACTTTTTTTTTCGGAGGGGGGCTGGGGGAAGAGGGTTGGAGCAGCCTGAGGATATTTTTATATAACTGCCCATCGTTAACTTCCTTCAGCGTAGGAAAAAAGATGCAGAGTTGTTTCTATATAGCCCTTGAGTCTCAAACACATACTTTATACACAGCGGGAAGTCGGCCCTCTCATTTGCAGTGAGGCGTGTCTGAATTACCTTGAGGTAGCTGTGGGGGTGACCCCATGTGCACAGCTGCATCCGAGAGCACAGAGGACGGACAATATATAGGCCTCCATCTAACAGGTGGTATTATTTCTGTCTTCTCCACAGAATGTGAATGGCATAAAGTACCATGCTAAGAATGGTCACAGAACACAGATTCGTGTCCGCAAACCATTCAAATGTCGTTGTGGTAAGAGTTACAAGACAGCTCAGGGCCTGCGGCACCACACAATCAATTTCCACCCCCCGGTGTCGGCCGAGATTATCAGGAAGATGCAGCAATAACACGCTGGTCATAACTGTGCCAAGGAATCCTCACCAGCAGTTGCTGATTTTGAAAACAGCCACCTTTTTTCAGGGGAAGCATTCAGCCACCCTTTAAAGAAGTAAATGCATGCTTTAAATTTTTTCTGTAATTTTGGAATGATGTATCTTTGTAGAGTTAATGATTTTGTACATTTGCACATGTAATCATCATATCCATTTTCATTACTTTGATATAAGGTGCTAAAAAAAGCTCTAGGTTCTCAGCACATTTCCCCCAAAACAAATATGGTTGAGGGCATGTCGCATATTGTTTAGTTGTATAGCAGTTGGGGGAGGAGGGGCTGGCACAGAGGTTTGCTTCTCTCCCCCCCCCCCCGCCAAGATTTGTAGTGTGACTGAGGTTTTTTCAACACATCAACTCACTATGTTCAAAACCAAAATAATATCTTCATTATCAAACTGGTTATCATGCCTTACATAATGGAGTTAGTATTTGTGAGTAGAAAGACTTTAGGTAATGGAAATATAAATTAAGAAAGAATGTTTAACATATGCTAAAAATATTTTCATATTTAAATAACATACATAAAAAGGTATGCTTTTCTGTGTTTTATATTATCTTGCAAGTCCTTTTGCCCTTTAAAAAGCTGAAAATCTTGCCATCTGACTTACCAATTATTTTAGTTATAAATGGCATTTTTGTATAATAGTCTGTTCAGTTCACTCATTAATTTAACACATTTATTGAGTGCAAGGGATTCAATTTATGTCTATTGATACTTGCAGAACAAGATACCAATTTAGTGAAATAGGTTTCCCTGAAATCTGTTAGGAAACATTTTGAAATACGTACAAATTTTTGTGTGAAATTTATTTCTATCTTCATCTTTAGGTGAAGTTTTAAAGCACTTTGTAGTTCTCTATTGCCAACAGAGTTAATGTTTTATGTGTTGCCAATTCTTACAACCACTGCCCTAACAAACCTGTGGGTTACAATAAGAAAATTCCAAGCATGGTTCAAAGGGGAACATTTTTGTTAGGCCCCTACTGCCTCCTCTTCATGTTCCTTGTTTTTAGACTATAAGGCACTTTTCCTATCACATTGTACATGTCTGTGTTCCACTGGAAACGTCTGTTTAGCTTTATAAAACAATTTGCCGAAATGAAATTGAGCCTTATTGAGAATTAAGTGCTTTCTTGCAGCAGGTGGTCAAAGAATGACTAATATATGGCCCGTTAGAATAACCTACGTCTGGACCATTCCTGAAGTTTTTCTCACCAACAATACTATCATGCCTTGAGTGTTCTTTTCTCCCAAGTGCTATTCCTTGAACATGAGTTTACCAGTTGCCTAATTATACAATAAAAATTGCTTTGAGGTGGCCAACTGCTCACAAAACTGGTGAGTCGCAAACTTGCATTGCTTACAAAATAACTTTCTTCCCATGTTTATTAGCCAGATGAGTAAGCTTCTATATTCTTAAGTTGTGAATCCCTCATAATGAGGGATTTAAGTATTTATAAAGACACTGCCCTTTAAGCATCTCCTCAGATCTCTGAAGCACGGTCTTAGTCCTGAAATACAGTGCTATTCTGAATATTGGAAAGGGTGATCCAGACAGAAAAGCCATTGGTTGTGCATAAGAAAGCCCCACTGCCTATTTCACATTTACCTGTAATTAACCAAATTTTTTTTAGGCCATCAGTTATTTAGCTTTTGCTCTTTCTAGTGCAAGAAATCGCAGGCTGGATCAGCAGTTCAACAGCTAAACAGCCATAAAATAGTCATTGTGCATGTTAACATTTCTTTCAACTATAAAACAAATTCCAACTTCTACTTGCTTATTCATTGTGACAGTATTACTAAAGATAAGGATGGGAATATTTTGTTATACCGTGTATAGTGAATGTATTGTACCGTGTCTGTGAAAACTGTGCTTTAAATTATATTTTCATATGTTTTGTTTGGGACAGAGCACATTAAGTTTGAAAGCGACAGAGGTTTTAGAACTGAAGGCAACTTGAATCAAAATCCTGTCAAGAAAAGCTGCTTATAAAATATGTAAATGAAATCACATTTTAAATAAACTGTCTCTGGCCCAAAACAAACATGGCTCTTGATTTTCACTAGCATCCATCAGGAAAAGCCAGTACCAAGTTCACAGAAACTGCCTCCTCAGTGCCTTGTTCTACCTTAGGCTGCCTTTCCTTTCCTTCCTCCCACCCAACATCCCAGGATTCAGCATGTAATTTTTTGCTTAATGTTTGCCTAAAAACAGCAAATCAAAATATGGGAGGCTAAAGTGATAAATACACTATTTTACTTTGAGATGGCAACACCACTCTAGCAATGCAGCAATTAGAGAATCAGTAAGAATTCAACTCAGCAATTAACTACTATATAACTATGTATTGTTTTGACCTACTAATCCTTTATCCAACATAGAATACACAATACACAAAGTTCACTCAGAACATTCACCAAGAAAGACAGAGCATGGTCTGAGAACATGCTTTGTATATCAATATTTCTCTGAAACATTCTGCTTATCATGTGACCTTCAGAAAGCCAAAATATGGAGTTCCCTAAACATCTAGTTCCCTAGACTAAAAGACCTTTTTAAAGGAATTCCAACAACAGACAAATTCTGCTCCTGAACACAGCCATCAGTCCTCCACTCCCCAACTGGGCTACTGAAGCACACACAAATTCCGCAACTAGAAACATACAGATGTATGATCAAGTTCATACACTGCACCCCAAATGCAACCACACTGAGTGATAACATCTCACATAGCTAATTTGTTTTGGACAAGCTTGAATATTTTCAGCAGCAGCAGAATAAAAAAAAAAACAATACTTTAAATTCTTAAATTCTTAATAATGATTGATTAAAAGAGAAATACAGTTCAGAAAACATTTTAAAAATTCCGACTAAAAAAGATGTTCAAGATAATACTTAATGAAAACCGATCACAAATGAATTTGACAATAAAATCACCTCCAAAAATGTGTCCTCTTTAATGTTAATGAGAATACTATACATGGCAGAAATACAACTTATTTACATAGTACATGTTTAATCACTGAGAATGTTATTTCAAAATTATATCTAATTAGGAAACTGTGGAAAAGGATACATTTTCTGTGATTTTATGCCACAAACACCACTAGGTAGTAGATCATATAATATGAAACAATTGTACAACATACCTTGTTCCATTTTCCCATTGGATAGAAATATAACTTTAAGATGGCTTAACCATAACTGTTCAGGCTATTCTAAAAAAATTTAGTCACAAAATTAGTAAAATATGCCTTCCCTTAATTCCTAAAGCAAAATAACTTCAAATATGAAAAGAATATTTGCCATACTGCAAGCATATGTGATCTCATTCTAAACAAAGCTCCATTTCTTAAGAGGCTTAAAAAAAATCATTTCATGGGCTAAATTATGCAAATTTCTGTATTGAAAAAAGAATTACTTTGCAAGACTATTATGATAAATGCTTTTTATTATTACATAATATTTAGTAGTCATGCTCAACCAACAAGTTCAACAGAAACTTGTATTCTGCTAAATAATTAACTATAATATTTTTTTTTCCCAATGCAGTAACATTAGAATAATCCTTGTTTCCTTTAGTCATATAATTTTACAAACTGGGGAAATAAATGAAAATACAAACACCCAAGAACTTCTTTTCTTAAGCAGGTAAGATTAAAAGAGGTTAAAATTATATTTGATTCACCCCAATTCTAGTAACACCAAACTCAAAGTAGATCTTGGTCAGAGTACAGGAGAGGATGCACAGAAGTGATTACCTGCGGGCTCCTAGTGGTCTATTTGAGATGATTTTTTTAAACTGCCTAACTGTATTAACTCAAAACAAAAAGTAACTAATCAAAATTTAAAACATTCTGATCAAAATGGGTCTGCACATGTCTTTCAAACCCTTGCTGGTCATAGTCAGGAGGGAACTGCTCGCTGCACATTGGGCACACCTTCCAGTGACTTTCAACATGTTCTTCAAATTTGCATTGATCATAGTTGGGAGGGAACATTAATTCACAGAGGGGACACTTCTTGTGAACATCAAAGCTTAAAGAAATAGGAAAATGAAAGAATTACATATTTCTAATATATATCCAACAACAGTATTCTTCAGAATATGATAAGGCTACATTTATCTATTAATAGTTAAGCTGATACTCATACTAAACAATTTACCTTGAAAGTCGTTACTCTAGAAACCTGCTTCTAAATGGTTGCTACTGACAACTGTGTAAACCATTTATAAAGCCTCTAAATTTATTTTCACATTTAGATCGACAAAGAAAACCTTTTTCATTCAAGTCCCCCAAATATAATTACATTATGTGAAATGAGGCTTAGTGACAAGAATTCAATTTTTAACCAAAAATGCTACTGATAAACCTATAAAAAATTAATACATCTTATCATTCCAACACTGTTCATTTGAGCGTGTCCATACACTGGTTCTCAAAGGATTTTGTGCATAAGCATCACCAAGAAGGCATGTTAAAACACCAAGAGTTTTAAGTTCAGAAGGAATGAAGTAGGTCCCTAATCACATGCATTTCTAACAAGTTGGCAGAAACCAAACTTAGAGAGTCATGTTCTATTAACTCACATTTTACATAAAGAGAAAAATTACCTGGAATCAAAGCAGAAGCCTGCTCCATGCCCATGCAAATGCTGGCTTGGAGGATCAGGAGCAGTGGGCACATTCTCATCCTCCTAACAAAAAATAATTTAGCAACTTCTTAAGAAGTGAAACAAACAAGTTTTTTAATTCAATCAAGCATAGTATAAAGAAAATAAGGCTGCACTTTTTAAATTTTCACTTCTATTACGAATTAGATTTTCAAAGTACAATTTTTTACAGAATATTTCACTGTGGGTGAAGTGTTCCCGTCTTGAAATAAAAAGCAGTATTTAGTGAAATGGAGAGTATGCCACACCTGTATTTGTGAATGCAGTAGAGATCAGGAGACTTTTTTGAACCTACATGTAGGGAACTTTCTTTTTATGATTCCATAAAAATCTTAACACTGCACTATTTTTTCCTGTTACTCTCGTTTAGTAACTTAATCTGCAAGACAGTATCTTCTTTGACAACTTACATTCATTGCAAAATATACAGAAATTATAAATAAAAATTAAATCTGAGTGAGAGGAAGCCAAGATGGCGGCATAGGTAAACACCTAACTGCAGCCTCACACAACAATTTCAAAAAATATAAAGTGGACATTATCCAGAACTACAGGAAAGTTGACTGACTGGAAATTCTACAACTAGAAGGAAAGAGAAAACCAGAAGGAAAATCAGAGGAGCTGTAAAAGCCTAAGGTACGGAGACACGGTGCACACGTGGGGAGAGGACGGAGCCAGAGAGGAGGGGGAGACTGAGTGCCTGGTTGGCATTCCCTAGTGGGAAGGAGATAAAAGCTCTGTGCTGAACCCCAGTTATGGGCGAGACCCTGGAGTCCCAGGCTCATACAGAGGGATTCCAGGCTGTAAGGCGGAAACTCAGGGGAGCGGCGAAAGGCAGAGCCCTAGAGTGGCACACATTGTGCACAGAGGAGGGACTGTTGACTGTGCCGCTGGATTGCCCTAGCGGGAAGGAGACAAAAGCTCCAGACTACACTGAACCCCACTTCCAACTGCACTGAACTCCAGTTCCGGGCTTATTGGGGGAGAGACTAGAATGTCCGGTAGTGGGCCAAAACTCGAGGGCACCTTTCTCTCAGAAGTGCTTGCAGCGAATACCAAAGGACACTGAGGAACACTGAGACTCAGGAACCTCATAGGGTGGGGCTGACAGGAAGCCAAGGCTGTAGGCTCCACCCTGAAACTCCGCCCCATCCAAGCTGAGCACAGAGGCTTTTGAATAAGGCTGTCTCCTGGCATAGACACAGCTGATCCACACAGCCAATTGGCCTGGAGGTCAGTTCCTCCCAGTGATACCAACAACAATTAAGACTTAACTATGAAAGACTGTACACACAGTCCACAAAGGGGTGCGCCAAGAGGTACCACCTCAAATAACTGGGAGGCTGCCCCACTGAACCATATAGGACACCTTAACCAACTCAGAGAAGCAGCAAAAATGCCGAGACAAGGAAACAGATCACAAACGAAAGAAATGGGAGGACAAAAAGCGACTGGATATAGAGTTCAAAACCACGCTTATAAGGTTTTTCAAGAATTTCCTAGAAAAGGCGGGTAAAATAAATGAGACGAGGATATGAAAAGGGGTCAACTAGAAATAAAGAACACATTGTCTGAAATAAAAAAAATATTATAGAGTCCTAAAAACAGAATGGAAGGTCGCAAGAATCAAGTCAAAGATTTGGAACATAAAGAACCAGAGGACACTCCTCTGCAGAAGCAAGAGGACAAGAGAATCCAGAAAGTTGAAGATAGCGTAAGAAACCTCTGGGACAACTTCAAGTGAACCAACATCAGAATTATGGGGGTCACAGAAGATGAGAGAGAGAGATACCGAAATCATATTGAAAGAAACAGTGAAAGAAAACTTCCCCCATCTGGTGAAAGAATTAGACTTACAAGTCCAGGAAGGGCACAGAACCCCAAACAAAAGGAATCCAAAGAGGACTACACCAAGACACATCATAATTAAAATTCCAAAAGCAAAAGACAAAGAGAATATTAAAAGCAGAAAGAGAAAAGCAGGAAGTTACCTTTAAAGGAGCACCCATACGATTGTCAACTGATTTCCCAAAAGAAACCATGCAGGCCAGACGGGAATGGCAAGAAATATTCAAGGTGATGAATAACAAGAACCTACAGCCAAAAATACTCTACCCAGCAAAGCTATCACTCAGAATCGAAGGCCAGATAAAGAGCTTCACTAATAAAAAAAAGCTAAAGGAGTTCATCACCGCCAAACCAGAATTATATGACTTGCTGAAGGGGGTTCTTTAGGAAGAGGAAGAAAATAGATAAAAATTATGAACAACAAATATGTAACTACCAACAAGTGAATCTAAAAATGAAACATGTCAATTACAAAAAGATTCCACTTATGAGGTACTGAGATGCTCAAGATGCCCTGA